AGAGGGGGGGGGGGGGTATACCCAGAGGTATCTATCACCATTAAGTGCTTTATCAAGTGATTTAGGGTCACGACCTTACAGCCCTTGGGAAACGAAGGACTTATCAGTTCGTGATGGGGTTTTCCAAAACACTCATAAAGAGACACTAATTCATCCGGCCGATGGCTGATGGCCCATTGATGACAATTTCACTCCATCCCCCTCTCGCATCTGTTCTATTTTCCCGTAATTTCCCTACCTGTTTGTTAGATGTGAGCGAGACCTCTTTTTCCGTTTCCCTCTTCAGTCTATCTGTTCCTGGTCACTAAGCATGTGCGAGCAAGCGAGCAACATTTGGCGAGTAAGCGAGTAAGCAATGCTTAGTATATGAGCGAGTTGTCATTAAATGTCTTTGAAGGGCGGCTATTTGCGTTATCACAGGTTTGTGGGAGGGGTGGGAGTGGTGAAGCGAGATACCCAGAGCGATGCTGTTAGTGAATGGGTCTGGTGTTGGCTGCTGAGTGAAGATGGTTCACTCTGTCAGCTCGAAATGAAAAGGGAGATGCTTCAGAGCGGAGGTAAATAAATGAGCTTAGCGTGTAGTGCATTTCTAGTTTGTAATACTTCAGATGAACTGTCTTCAGTTGAAGGAAAGAGGGTGTGTGTCATGATTGCTGCTAGATCATGCCTTGATTCATTGTGCTTGGAAGTGAGAGTTGTGAGGAGATGTATTAGGGGAGCGACAATGAATGCTGTGTGCTGTACCTACTCCGTCTCGTCCTGGACAAACATAACAAACCTTTGACATTATACCTTGGGCATACTCTTACCACGCATCCAAGCGTCTCTGCTGCACCTTTGAGCTTAATTTCTAGGCAAATCCCGAATCGAAATATCGCAAAGGACACTAGCCGATGTGTTTTCGAATTGCCGTAATCCCTATTATAGTTTGGCAACGGCTCTTCTTAACTACAGCGAGCGGTATCGGACTGCAAAGGTCTCATCATTTTTGTCATGGACGAGTCCGTGTCTTCGGATCGGAGAAGGAGTGGCCACGAGGGAGAAAAAAAAAAAAAAAAAAAAAAAAGGTATGATGGGTTCAAGTGTGAGAAATAGCAAGAACAACTTGGCCAACGAACAAAAACTTGGAAAGTGCTGTTCGCTCTTACAAGTAGCTGGATTACGGGGCAGTCCCATGAGTGGCTCTTGCCTCGACTCCAGCCTCGTTAGCTTCACTCATGTATGTCCGGAGACTTCCCATCCTAACCAGACTGGACAGACCTCTCCATCAATACATGTGCTTGAAAACAAATCAACTTTCCAGACGTCAAACACATTCTATAGAAAGTGAGGCCTCGAGGTGTCATCACGATGGTTCTGATTCAGGTCTGCTCAGAAGACCAGTATGACTTCTGGACCCTTTTTGCATGGTGTAACTCACAAAGGTCTAAGAGCAGTCATGGTTCGATATTTTTCACGGGCACTTCACGTAAGAAGAAGAAAACGAGTGTTGGTCATCCAACAGGTCGAGTGTTTCGGAGCTGTGAGTTTGCCTGTCATCCATCTCCCATATGTGCCAATGTCGACTTTGTGAAGCAGCATTCAGTTCCAGATATCGATTAGTGATGGCTAACATCAAACGCAGGTTTTTGACACCTGTTCATGTAGGAAATTGGGGAGAGGTAGTTTGCGCATTCCAAGTGTTCCAGCCTCGAGATATATAATCATGTCCGAGGATGCGTCCAACTGAAGAGTAAGATGCCTGCTAATAGTCGATAAGTTTCATTCAGTATAGCAGGAGCATCGCTGCCTCCAGCATTATCATCAGTGTCGCCAGAAGAGAAGAATCAACTTTATCGAGCCAGTATTTTTTTTTTTTTGAAATCAATCCACAAATACTCACCATGTCCAGTTCTAACTCAACAATCAACAATAACAACATAACTTCCTCCTCGACCACTGGAGGCTGTAAGTGAAAGTTTACCTTTTCAGCCACTTGCTTTTCCTTCGCGCCCTCGTCTCCCTTTTGTTTCCTTTTTTTTTTCTCTTTTTTTTTTTTCTCTCTTGTCTCCCCTTCACTTTTACACCAAAACACCATACTCACCCCTCCCCCTTTTCCGACTAGCATCCTCCACCTCCTCATGGCCAGGGACAGGGACAGGGACAGGAACCAGTTCCTTCTCCCACAACATCGCGTCCACCAGCACCAGCACCACTACCCCCTCATACCTTAGCACACCCAAACCCACAACAATAACAACAACATCAACATCATACAAACCCACCTTCCCAAATAGCGCCGTGCAGCCCGGACGGGAATCCAGATTCACCGAGCACTTTGAGTACAGCGAGTGGAAGAATATGCCTAGCGTGGTTGATAACAGCAAGCATTTCGAGTTGATGGCGGTGCCGATTGAGCATGAGAGGAAGGAAGCTGAGGAGAAGGAGAAGAAGAAGAAGTCTTGGGGTTGGGGTAGTGGTAGTGGTAAGTGATGATAGGTCTCATGAAGAAGTAGAGGTAGGGGCGGGATACTCGTAGAATTAAATCAAGCTTGAGCTGGGGTGGGACTATAAAGTGGTTATTGAAGAAGTGGAGGGAATAATTATGCGAGAGGAGGGAAAAGGGGGAAAGAGGTGAAGAGAGATAAAGAAAGGGAAAAAGAAGAGTGGAGGAAGAAGAGAATTTATTAAGAAATAAACATACACATTGTCTTGATTCGGATCAGTTGTCCCTGTGTACTTCTTTGTAAGATCCCGATTTCTGGGCGTACGTAGCAAATCAAGCGAGCCAGCCATCTTTTGCAAGTTTTACTCCGTATATCGATGCAATCCTCTCTAGTCCAGCTATCGTCTTTCCCCTATCTATCATCCATCACTACTTCTTCATTCTTGCACTTTATCAACTTTCTTTCCTGGTTGCTGATCCCGAGATGAGGTTCGCGTTGACTGGCTCCTGGGTTGCGGATCGATGATACTGGCTTGGTGACCGTACTTGATCTTTCTTTCGAAAGCCATTTAATTGACACAAACGTACGTGCTTTTTGTTGCCATGCTTTTCGTGCGACTGGCGCTTTTCTTCCCGTCCTTGGTGAAGCATAGGGAGCATGTATCACCATTCCGATGCTATCTCGTCGTTTACTTAGCCGTCTTTCGTGGTATTCAGAGGAGGAGACCCTTGGCAGCTGGGCGTTATGGTGACGTTGTTGAAACTCCGAATCGGAGTCAAAATACAAGACTTTGAGTTGAGCGTCATCGGTAGAGCGGCGTGGACGGATCTAAAAGTCGGTAAGAAGATTCGTTGTATCGTTACCCGCACAGACAGACTGCCCTTGACTGCCACGAAGTTACCAAGATCGGATGATATCGGTCACCCCAGTCTTGTATCAATTCGATGATTGGCCATATGGTAATGGCTTTTGAGGAAGCCCGTATAATTGCTAAGTAATCTTTACAGCAGGACCGAGAAGTTTGACGTGGCCAAATAGTTCGTGATCCCACTTTCACTTTGTTTACTTATCCCTATTTCATCCTTTGCATCACTGTATGTTCAAGGGTCGCCGTTTGAGAAGCGAGTGTGTGATAGCCAATCAAGTAGATTTTTCATGCACAGGAGTTGTGCAAGTATCCTTTCTTCCTTTCATTACTTCTTCTCCCGAACCCTTTTCTAATCCCTTCCCCGACTCATCCCAGATGGTCGTATGGTGTGTGATTCATTTCCATGTAGTTACAAATGATGTATACCGTCGTTTCACTCCCACTCCCTTTTTTCCATATACAAACATGATGGGGGAGACGTTTAATGTGCCGAAGTCGTGTACAGATAGATAGACATAGATGCACGTCATACATCATCACCGGAAACCCCCCAATTATAGTGACTCTAGTACAAGCGGTAATGATAACAGAAAGATGCTGTTACTCTCCCCAATCTACCTCTTGGTGGTAGAGCCATTAGCGGTAGGCTTCTCCTCGGTAACATCATCTTCCAACTCCGACTCATCATCGCTGCGGTCATCCTTGGCAACTTTATGGACAACGAAGCGGTAAGCGATGCGGATGATGAAAAACAGCCAAAAGAGGTTGAGCGCCTGAAGGGAGCCGAGCAAAGCGAGCGTGATGACGAAGGAGAGGCTGCACTTGTACTGCTGAGTCTCCCAGTTGAGCTCGTAAGGGCCAACGGTCTTGAACTCGGTGAACAGACTCCAAATGATGCGCAAGTTGAGGTAGTGGCGCAGGTAGATCCATACACACATGAAGGTGAAGTAGTAGGGGCCGGTGAGCGCGTGGTCGAGGTAGTTGAGAGTCTTGGATGTCTGGAAATTGGGCAAGTTAGCAAACGCGCCATGCCCTGACTCAGGGATGCTGGGCGGGGACTTACCGCCAAGAAGAAATCACTGATGTCATGGGTGATGTAGACCGCAAGACCGATGTAGGTGAAGTGGAAGCGGTAGCTCAAGCCAATCAAGGCCAAGCTGACAATATGATGGCAGACCAACTCCCTGAAATCCTTCCGGGGCTTTTCCATTCCCAGGAGAAGCACGATGGCCTGCTGCGCCCAGTAGGCAGCCTGGAAAAGGTAGTAAAACTTGAACACAGCCACATGGGTCTTGTGCGGGAAGTTCTCGTACATGCCGACGGTGTTGAAGTACCAGACGGGCGTGCGGCTCATAACGTACATACCAACGGGTCCCATGATACCAAAGTAGAGAGCCGTGTACATTTGCTCCATGTACCGAGCCTGCTTTCCGCGCGACTTGAGGCCGGCCCAGCGCGCCATGGGGCGCAGAACCTCCTGCATGATGAACTCGCGGGTGAAGGACAAGACGATAGTGTAGAAGGATACAAAGGCAATGTCCCAGAGGCCTTTGCCGTATTGCGGGATCTCATCGGGACTCGAAGTCGGCAGCTTGTATGAGAGGAAGATAAAGTGGTGGATCGGGTTGCTCTCGGTCGGGTTGATGGCGTAGAGAGATAGGAATGCCATCAGGATGGCCAAGGGCAAGGCCCACGTGTGTTTGATGGCATAGTTTTTGGCGCGGCGGAGGAGGGAGCGCGCCTTGCGCCGCTTAGAAAATTTCTTGCCTGGTGGCGCAGCGACATCTTTGGAATCCTGTATGACAACTGCAGTCAGCTTCTCTTCTTGTTGCCCTGTCCATGGCCTGGTGTTCAAGATGGGACGATGCCTTACCTTCTGTGAGAGGGCAAGACTGGTGGCCAAGGCGGGTGCGCCAGTGTCACCGACGCGCAATGCTTGTCCAAGGCCGCTCGACTTTCTACGGCGACGGGCTGCGGTAGCCTCGGAGTGTAATTGGCGGTCTGCCGCCGAGCTGAGCTCCGGAAACGGTTCTGATTTTGTCGAGGGTGCCATGGTGGGCAGTGGGTGGTGGTGGTGGTGGTGGTGGTGGATGGCTGGTCAGTCGGACAGCCTCCGGGATGGAAGACGTAGAAGCGCAAGACCCGAGGGATTCCCAATATCCAAAGGTCGTTGCTGCTCTTTTTGTTTCCTTCAAAAAGCCGCAGTCAGACCCCGACCGTCTCTTCGTTTGCGCCGAACCAGATCACGATAAAACGCCGAAGGAGTAGGAGTACGCGTGCGCTCGTTCCACGGGCAGGTAAGCTGAAAAAAAAAAGGAGGGGCGTGACCGAATCCTGTGAAACTCGGAGGGGAATTAAAACAATAATAAGAGTAAGCTGCTGATGCTGCTTCTGGTGCGCCCCTTGCACCGTAAAGGAAACAGAAAAAAAAGACAGAAAAGAATTTCTTGTGAAGAAGTTTGGAAGCAGAGTAAGAAGAGCCGTTGCAAGGGGGGCAGTTCCGACTTTGAAGATGGTCCCGTCTTTTCGTGTTGGAGGGGGAGTGGCCTCAAGTGAGAGACTGGGGCTCTCTCCACGGCGTGTCGCTCAGCCGCGGGACGGAAGGCGGTAGGGACCACGGCACCACACCTCGTCCTCACCTCAGCGCCCACCTAGGATGGACTCCATACGCAGGACTAGGGGGCTGGCATGACGCTAAAACGCTTCACGGTCCCGACAAACACCCAATTTTCCCCTGTTCGGGTCTTCCGCCGCGACCGACCCCACAGACCGCTTAATTGGACCCTTGTTTCCACCGCCGTGACCCAAACAACACCTCTGGAGGAAGAAGGTTGAGGTGAGAAGCCAGTGACGAGGTGAAGAATGGCGCAAAAAGGTGAAGTGTCAACCGGTCCGGGTAGGTGTTCACCAGTCTCTTCATCCTATGGTCAAGTTGCAAAGCTCCCGTCTCTATTTTCCGTCTCTTCTCTTCCCCCACTTCCCCATCAAGTTAAATCGCCAAGCGCACTCACTATTACATAGTCTTGCCAAAACAAATCTTCATTGGCCTAATCTACGGGGATACTGGAGAGGCCGATGGCGAGGATCAGGGGGGTTTGTCTTCAAGAGACCTGAGCTTACTCATGTCAAAATTATGCGCACCGCGCGCAGAGGCCACTACAGACTTTGATGGCCAAAAGCTCGGCCATCAAGTACTTCACCAAAGAACTATTGTTCTTACTGCAAATCCATGAGCGATCAACGCTTTTTCCAAGACCATGCAATTTCTCAATATCTTGAGTACGTGGCCGTGAAGAGAATGCATTTTCATCAACGTGATCAAAAGTGATGATGTTCGCCAAGGCCGCGGGAAATAGGTGGTAAAACAGGTTAGCGGTGCGCATAAGTCTGACATTCACGAGCCGAGGCTGGATTGGACGGCACCACTCTTTGGAGTCGGCAGGTGTCCCGATGGGGAGTGCAACTCCAAGGGCTGCCGAGTCCGCGGAACCCTGCTGACTGGCTAGGTACCTTATGTACCTAACTGGCTACGACCATTCTGTGGAGGCAGTTTGTTAGCAGAAAAGGGGACTCACACTTCATAAGGGATTGCAAAGGACTTTTTCCACCAACGTCAGGTCAATTGCGACCGGCCGCCAAGAACAACTCCATCCTTTGATATGACCCAAGCGCGCAAACAAATTGCAGACAGAACTTGATAGGGGCAACTTCATCCAAAATTCATGAATCCTTCATAGAGGGTAGGTACCTCAAAAGTGCCATCAATCAGTAAGAAAGTATAAGGCAGTGAACATCCAAGAAAGTTGCCATTGAATGTACGACCAAACATATACCATATATGGTAGCCTCTCACTTCCCCCTTCCGCGGGCCCCGAACATTCCGACGGTGATGGTGACCACCTCACCTACGACCTTCCATCCTAAACGCCCTTTTTTGATCCTCGCTAGACGCCGAAACAATGCAGTAACATGTGGTATCTCCTATAGAAAAATGTAGAAACAATCCCAAAAATACCCAAGGATGATAGATAGAAAAGGCGTGCCAGCCGTGTCAAGGAGACGGTGTCGTTGAGGAGTCGCTTCTCGCTGGTTGCTTACCCAGAGCAACTAGCGACGGTGACTGCGGCTGCGACGGTGCTCTGGCTGGGTCTTGCCGTGGTGGAGCTGGTATCACCGTCACAGGCAGGTGGTTATACCTGTTGTTGGTAAATGAGCCCTGGGTAACGATGGGACTCAGTTGTGGCCGGGACATTTGCGCTGTGCTCATGCTGCTGTTTGCCGCTCGTGGTGGAGGAGAAAAAGGAGTTTGTATCGGCGTCTGACTCCCCCCTACCGCAACCACCGTTCCCGAAGCGTTGCTATTCCGGCTCTCTTCCCTAACCGTTCCCTCCCTTGATGAATGATTAAGCTCTTCATCCTCACAGAGCTGGGCGATGGCGGCGCCTCTTCGCGGTGGCGCGGGGATAACGGTGACGGGCAAGTTGTTGGTATCCAGAGTTGGGCGGAACTTCTCGCGTAGATTCTCGGCTTGGGTTGCTGCGAACTCCTCAACTCTAGCGCGGAGATCCCATCGAGAATTCTCGTCGCGCTGCATCTTGCTGCTTCGTGGCTCCGAACGCGTTACGAAATCCCTGCTCGAAACTGTTGGTGCAAGTGCGTGCCATCTGCTTCCTGCTGATGAGGCTTTTGCCCCCACATGGGAGTTTTGTGTTGAGCGAGCATCCTGAGCAGGCGCTGAGCCGGGACTCGCGCTCCCATAGTCTCTATGTCGACTGGAACCACGACTCTCGCTCCCCGACAAGCGCCCCATATTGCGTGTCGGTGGTGGCGTACCATACGATGTCAGGTCTGTCATGGTATGGTACCTGACAGCGTACATGGTACTCGCGGCGCTAGTGGTGTCCGTCCGGCTCACTGACGTAGCTGCCGGAGTTGGTCGTGCGGGCCATAACGGCGGTGATAAGAACCGTGGCCTCTCGTCGTCATTTGTAGTTTCCGCCACCGGCGAGCTTCCCTCGTTAGGCTCGTTTCTAGAGCTGGGCTCGGTGCGGTGCTTTGATGTCAAGGTGCTAATCTTCGACCAAGCACCAAACCTCGACAGGCTTGGCCCGCCGTCCTTGCCACCTCCACCACTTTCCGTATCCTGCGAATCCGAACCGCCCGAACCCTTTCTCTTCATCTTTGGCCAGGCATGTTCCGATTGTGATGCCTCGAGCATCTCGTCTCCATCGAACACTTCTCTTCCCAATATTCCATCCTTCTTTTCTTCCCTTTCCAATGTTTCGATTCTCTCTACCCATTCCCAGACAATGACACTAGCAGCAGCAGCCCCCACCCATCTGACGTAGTCTCCCCAGCCCGCGAAGTCAGGTTTCGATATATCGAGGATGAAGAACACAACAGGAACGAGAATGGAGACCACGGACAGGACAGCCACGAGGATCATATTCTTCATCAAGGGGTGGTAAAACGCGTACCGCTTCTTCATAATCGAGTAGTATAACACCCAAGCAGCATAGAGAACCCCCAGAGCGAGGGCGAACAGATAACTAAGGGCAGGCACAGCCTCGGTGAACTTGGGCCGCGTAAGGTCGGAACCACCATATTTGAAGCTGTTGAGTGATTGGAAAATGACGTCCAACGTGATGAGCGCAAAAGCCGTCCATTTAATAATCACCTTTTCTCGCTGGCGCGGGAACAGACGAATCAGAGTTTGCGCTTGGGCGAGCCATAGAAAGGTGTCGGATATAATGCGGATGATTTTGAGTTCGGCCCCACCAAGAACATCTTCTTGTAGTTGTTTGGCGTTTTGAACCCCCCAGGAATACTGTTGCTCGGCGGCGCGAAACGTGGCTGCGTTGGCAATGGTCAGTGAAATGGCGACCGAGAGAGCTGCAACTTTCTGCAACCAAGGACGTCCTCCGATGCTGGTGCCGCCGCCGCCATTTGTGAACCCTTTGCGTCCCAGAACAACCACTCCGCCATCAAGAAATGACCTCGGCGTGATGAAGAGCATGATAACCAAAGTATATGCGATAATGGTCGTCGCCGCAAGAGCGTAGCATTGCGGAAACGTCGACGCATAGAACGGATCACGCCAGTCCGAAAAGTGGGAGTCGTCATCTGCTTTCAGTCCCATGGTGCCACTTGCAGTCCTCCCTACGACTCCGCCAGAAGCAATAATGTTGGGAACGGAACGAAGGGCGAGATTGCATGATGGCGGTTTGAAGGCGGCCGGAGCGCTAAGCGTAATGATCTCGCCATTGGGGAGTTGGAGAATGCCTCCTTCGGGGAGGTTGAAAGAAGCGCAGCTGAGAGCATTGCTGGCGGCCCCGGCGGTAGATATCGGATCGGCCGTCGGGTCGCTGAAGAGCTGTCGTGGTTCCATGCTAAATCGGTCGCAAGTGACGGCAAAAGACCGCTGGGAATGCGCTTTGGCAATCCTTCTGCCTCCTGCTGTCTATGCCTCAATCGCCATAAGGTTTGGTCTCTCCGGTGTCGCATCTGGCGCGCGTACAGCGCCGTGATCGTGGTTGTGGTCGAGGCTCGCTGTCCACAGTCGTCGGGATTGATGTCGCAAATGTGGCCCTATTGCCAAAATCCAGTGTGTGTTCAAGGTGTCGTTCAATTGCCCTCACAATAGCCCCTCTCCGATCTACCCCGATGGCTTTCCCTCGGAAGATTCGCGATCACTTTCCCGACACGCGATGCGATCGCTCTTGAGGTTTGAGACAGGTATGATGTCAAGATAGGTAGCAAAGTAGGGCGTGAAGGTGTTCTGAAGGCCCTGAGCTTCAGAGGCTGGGCGCCGAGAAATCGTGATTGTATATGGCCTGAACTGCTGGAAAAAAAAAAAAAAAAAACAGGGCTCGAGTCGCAATCTGCGGGCAGGTCGAGAAGAGGCGAAAATTGCGCCGCGGTGTGAATCTAGCACAGCAGATGATGAAGGATACCTAGTTTTGGCGCTGAAGATTTGACGTTCGTATCTTGCTCGGCAAGATGGGATGTGCGGATGGAAAGTGGTCGAGGGAACGTTTCCAGTCGTCAGGATAAATCGCATTCGACGAAGGCCGGGGACTTGCGGTTGGAAGGAATGGCACCTTCAGCGTATACTTGTAGGCGCAGAATGTAGTAGTCCTCCTGTAAACTAAGCGGGGGAAGTGTACCGTGTTCCAATTCCGGATGCACTGTTCATCTCGGCTCACTTTTGCAGAGACGGGCCGCAGAGTTCCCAAATCAGTGGATGGGGCCGCCACTAGGAATCAAGTACGAGCTTCCACTTGAGAGAGAACTTATCCGCAACTCCATCTGCTCAGGAGTCGGTATCGTGAGTCCCGTGCCGCATCTGTGTCAGGCTATGGATTGATTCATGACGACCTCTCAGTGGACGTCATCTTTTCATGTCCCGAACATATATTATTCGGTGGATCAACTCACAACTCAGAGATGAGAATGTTTTGGCTGAATGTGCGATCGAGGCTGTCTAGAGGTATGTAGCAAGGATATATCGGTAGCTCGAACATGGGCGTTCCAGATCCAGTTCCCGGCCGGAGCTCGACTCCTTAAGTTTACCTTGGTCTTCCATACCTGGTCTAGTGCAGAGTCACTACTTCAATCGTCGTAGTCGAATACGGAACTTGCCGATCTTAAAACCCTCAGACTTCCCACGATTTGTCAGGGCTGGAACAAGATGAAATGATCAGTTGTCGTGATAGATTAGATGTAGAGACACTTAAACTGTCCGTCGAGTACACTACCTCTAGGCACTGCAGCACCTCTACTTTCTAGGCCTATCGATGTGGTGTGGAAGAGAACTGAATCAAACTGTAGAGCTCAGTCCTCCTCCTTTCTATTCTTGTCTTCGCGACTCTGGCTCTTCACACTGTGTTTCTTTCTGATCGGACTCGAGTCAATCCGCGATCACGATTTGCGGGGCGGATCCAGACCCATCAACCAGACACACACCACTTGACAACTAGAAATCGTACACCTTTGTCAAACTCAATACGCCCACATAAACCATTTTGGAAAGTCTAGAGAAATAGCTTGGATTTCTACCCCGCACCTGCGAGAGATCTGCTAGTGTACATAGTATAAGGCCCCGAATTGTACAAAGGCGTACCAAATCCTCTGAGCCTGATCTCAGATCTTATCTGATCCCCTAGACCTAAAAAAGTTTACCCCATGAATCAAAAGTCAGAGATTGGAGTAAAGCCAATCTTCTTCTTATGTATCAAGTTGGTTGAGCGATTGCTTGGCGATAGCTTGTCCCTCGTGGAACAGAGTCTTGGCTCCCGGCAGGCCAGTCACCATCAGGCCGGAATGTTCGGGCCACGGGGCTGAAGCTAGCGCACCGTCCCGGCGGGAATAAGGTTGCAGGCTGTCAGTCAGGCACGACAGCGTGTCGTGGTGATGCTATGCTGACGTTAAGGCTCCCCGTCGGCACGAATGTGCCGATTCTTTCCATAGTCCAAAGGCCAAGGCATAAGCCAGGCCGTAGCAGGCATAGGTAATCGGAACAACCTCAGGATAACCTCATGGCATCAGATCAACTATAGTATATAAAACTACAGACCAGGCCGCTTGGCGGGCTAACCACTATGCCTGGTGATAGAGGTATTGCCTTTAAGCATGGCGAGATTCATCAAGTCCCGGAAATAAGTGGTTGAGACAAGTGCGTAGCCCGTTTGACGCGTAGATCGATGTTCCACAAACAACATATGAAAGGTCTAGGCTTTGTTGTGATCCATTGTGTTTGGTTCAAAGCAGGACCTAAGACACAAGTGTGGAATGATGACATCCTAGACGACTATATTGCCAGGGTCATGAAGAATTACTGCTGGCTAAGGCGTCATCCATCCACATTGTGTCGGTTGTTTTGATATACGATTAGAAATATTCAAGTTCTCAAAGCTTTCCGAATCTCTTGCGGGGTTAATTGCGAAGTTGGCCCAGGTCATAGAACACATGGGTAAGGCCGATGGCTTTTATGATGGGGGTATGAGTAAAAATAGAAGATGATTCATCCCTCTATAGATCATGTCTTGTCCCTCTCATTGGTAAGATTTTTGCCGGGCGCCTAACTTGGTCAGAGAGTCGAGCGCAAGAGGGTAGAGTAGAGGTAGGGTGTCGCCCATGGCGGATGAGAGCGACCTGCTAAAAGCCTGACCCTAGAGCAAGTCTACATGGAGGATATCGGCACTAGTAGAGATCTGACATCAGTACAAAGATTGAAGCATTCGAGACTTCACTCACAAGGCATGGTACGTGATACTCCGCGAAGATGGTAGCGAGACGTTCCTGATCTCGGTTGACGTCCCGGCCACGATACGTATGTTTGGGAGTTGGGACGTCGGGCAGACGGGGCCGAAGTTTCGATGGAACCACACGGCACGGGGAGTGGAGGGCAGGGCAGCATTTGACGGGGACCAGGAAGCCCCTGGCGGAAAGGTGCTGTTTCAGGTCCAAGTCCCCAGCGACTCCAGGCCTCCCAGCTGTCTGTGCTGCACTGCAGGTGCTGACGGAACCCCATCTGGGCCTTCCCTGGCGCGGCGTGGCCCCAGCAACGGGAGTTACCTATCTTGATTCTTGCGCGGTACACAGCCTTGTACTTTTCCAATCATGGCCATTTCAGTTTCGTGACAGCAACAATGAAGGGAACATGTGCCGTGTTTACACCTTCGTTCCGCACCTTGACGATCTTTAGAAATTCAAGAGAAATGTAGCAGGAGCGACGATGGATATCATCGCGGCTTCCTCCTGAGGCGTATTTCTACGTCTTCATCGTACTCCGCAATCAGTCTTTGCATCCAAAGCTTAATTTCACTCCTCAACCTCAGCTGTCCCGGTCAGGCTACATCCCCGTTCCATCGTCACTTTTTATTTCGTTATCCACTCGGCACAGCAGGGTACCTTACATACGATATAGAGGAGCATCCGGTTTTCTCCCCCTGGAGCCAAATCCGATTTTGTCCTAGCTTTACAGCAACGGGCGACTTTGAAATTGTCAATCCAAACAACGACTTCACTTTTTCTCATCCATCATTCAATACTTCTTTCATCACCGCCTCCTTTCATCCCACCAGGACTAGGACCCTCTTTTGGCGACCGCCTGCGCAACACGCATTGTTGTTCGCTTTCCTGCATTTTTCGCATAACGGCACTCGTTTTCTTCTCGGTACATCCAGCATCGTGTCCGCCAGGGTCGAGGCTGTCGCGTGTCCGTCATCTTACCTGTTTCAGCAGTCACCCTTGTCCTTCATTTCTCGACAATCTAGTCCACCCACTCGCTGGCTCTCCTTTTATGATCATATCCATCACATCGGTCTTGGCGGCATCATCAATCCAAGCTTGAAGCATCTGTTCCCATCCGTTCGACATCAAGCCATTGCGCAGAACCTACATATCGATTCTTTGTAGACTACCTGAGGAAATAGGCCCTAGCCGCGACGGCAGAACCAACATCCCATATAACATTCAACAGTCTTGTGTGTTTGCATGCGCTTGACGCGGACCGCGCGCCAGACTGGCCAGTTATTAGACGTCTGGAGCTAGAAGGGACAGCGGTTGAGATCTAGCAGCTTCGTGATCCATTCAGACCGACGGTGTAACTACGCAAGACTTCCTGTCTCATATCTTGAGCCACCTGGGCCCAAGCCACTGCTGTGAGCTTAACAGGAAATCAACGTGCAACTATTGAAGGGGCGCTTGCAGAGCCGCTTGCATCAACATGACAAGACCCGAAATTATTCGTGCCGGTATGCACCGTTTTCTTCATCTCGCTCACACACACCCCCCAGCCCCCTGGTCGCAAACCGGCCAGGCCCTGGCTTCTCGTGGCTGCAAGGGCCTGGCGTTTCTTTTCAGACCTACACTTACCTTGGTTGCATACACACCTTATCCATCTTCTCTAGACACTAATTCTCCTATTCCATCCAGACACGATCGACCTTCAAAGCCGCGGCGCGCACTCTACCCAAGGTTTCCATAGCTCGACATCCAACGGACCCCTGGCTCCGCACCAGGCTGAGACCCTTCGTGAAGTTGCGGCGGAGGCGGCTGAGGAATCGATTCATAGCCCTCAAGTCTCTTGGTCTGGAGGCGAGGCTGGTGGCCTCCATCGCTACGCACGCGATCACGAAACAGGCGTTGACCAGGCTCACGACAACCTACAAAATCAGCTCTATAGCGGCGGTGGAAACAACATGGCTTCGCGCTCGCACCAGGACGCCTTGGCCGTTGCGCAGAATGGCGGGCATTCCGACATTGATGATGGGGACCTCGACGGCGATAACGAGATTGATGACGATGATGATGGAATGGACAAGATCTCCAGCTCGCCCTCGATAGAAGATGGTGGGTCTTCCTTTACCCTTCCACTCTTGCCGTCACACAGTTGTGCTGGTCCTGCCCTCCCACGAAGCTCACCCGAAAGTTCGTTGGCTTCGTCTCCAGTCAGCGACCCGAGGTCTTCGTCTCCGTACCTCAACTGTCCTGACTACTTGCCTCCTGGTCGTGCGACCCAAGCCATAGGCGAGAGCCCCCCCAGCATACTTCGTCGCCATCATCATCTTGAGGGTAAGTATGGGAACTTCGACCTAACGGATGGCCCGAACCCAGGAGCCGAAGCGTACACCTTCATGGAGGAAGAGGTATGTGTAAGCCACAAAGAGACAACGACCGGGCCACGAGAAGAGGACTAGAACTCCCGCTGGTTGCTTTTGGATCACTCGTCTAGGCTGAATGGTAGCAATCTCAGCGTCGTTGCATCAATGGGGAACACGTCAGGAGTGACGGCAATTTGCAGATTAGCGAGAGACTCAGGGTCGGAAAGCGACAGTCCTAGGTTGACGGTACCATACGAGTCCGACCCAGATGATGATGATGGCGACTTTTCATGCGTTCACGATGAAGACTTCCTCGAATCGGGCTGGGGTGGAGAGTGCTTACAAAATACAGAGGACATCGATTTCGAGTTTGTTTACGCCCTCCACACCTTTGTTGCTACGGTCGAAGGGCAAGCCAACGCGACAAAAGGTGACACCATGGTTTTGCTCGACGACAGCAACAGCTACTGGTGGCTAGTACGCGTCGTAAAAGACAGCAGCATCGGTATGTCCTCCCTGAGTGGTCCACGAGCTTTCGGTTGTAGTGGTCTAATCTGATATGTCTTGTAGGCTACCTGCCCGCCGAACATATCGAAACGCCAACAGAGAGATTGGCACGCTTGAACAAACACCGAAACATAGACGTAATGACCAGCCCTCTAGTGTTCTTCGCGAATCAGAATCGATGTGCTAACAGCGCCTAGCTATCCGCCACTATGCTTGGGGATCAAGCCGACAAGCCTCGAAACCCCATAGTGTCTGCGATGAAACGGACGAAGCGAAAGACCGTCCAGTTCGCTGCTCCTACATACGTCGATTACTCTGATATCGATTACTCTACGGATGAAGAAGATCCAGATGCAGAATATTTCGGTCAGCAGCAACAGGCACACAAAACGCAGCAGTCGCAGAAGACGCAGCAGTCGAATGTTCAGCAGATAGAATCCGACACAGACCCCGAGGACGAGACAGCAAAGGTTGAACCTCTAAAGCCCAAGCCACTGCAAACGAAGGACAACAAAACGGGTGAAGACAGCGCAGGCCGACTTGGAATTCGAAACAGCGAGGAAATCTTCGAGTCGAAATCGAGCGAAGGACCCAAGAAGTCAAGCGACGGAAATGTTCGGGACTCCTTCTTCAAGGACGATGTTGAAACCAAGAAGATCACCCTTACTCCTAACCTTCTCCGCGACGATACCGCCGCGAGGACGTCTAGTGATTCAAACCAGTCGAAGCAGCGTCCAAGCTTGGATAAGCTCGAAAAAGACAGCCCTACCAGCAAAGATGACAAGAAAAGGAAGGAGAAGGAGAACTCAAAGAAGCCTAGTGCTATTCGAAGTTTCTTCTCCCGAAAAGACAAGAGGAAAGGACAGGAAGATGACGAGACCCACGGAAAATCGACACAGGATGCCGACGGCCACGAAAGAGAACATGAAGAGGACGAGCAGAATATTCTTTCATCGCCGGAGAGAGCACCAGGCCCGCAACGAAATCCAAGCAAGTTGCAAAAGTCACAGCCCACCAATGCGAAGCCCATTGCCGGAATACTCAAGGATACCAGCATGGATACGTCAAACTACATGTCTGCTGGCAGGATCAACAATGTTTCCAACACTCCTCCTTCTACAATGCGCCTGGTCGAACCGGAACCAAACGACATGACAGAAGGAGGCCCGCAAGAGCAAAGAGGGCAAAGGGAACAGTCGCCGGAAACTTCCAGGAAGCAAGAGAGCGGGGGGCAATCTCGGGATGCCGGGGCTCGGCAAATCCCTCAGGCTCAACCCCGCTCAGAGATGGATTTCGATTCCGATGAAGATGACATCACGGGTTCTACACAACAGTCACCAGCAACGGCCCAAGAACCTGAACCCCAGAGGCTGCAAGGGCGGTCTGCACAAACCTCTCGCAACCCGTTCGCTACCGCACAGCCTGCGGCTTCTAGTGTGGCGCCGTCGCATCAGCAGCACGCTGAGCGCTTGTCCGAGTCTCCTGTACATGTTTCACCTATTCAAGCCGATCACCGGACTTCGCCAACACCTCCTCTGATGGCTGACTCATCCAGCCAAGAGGATCGATCCTCACCCAGACTTACGCCGTCACCGGAAATGATTGAGCATGAAGATGACGGAGCGGATGATAAAGACATTTCTCCTCCTTCACCAGTTTCGACTAGTACGCCCACCTGGAATGATGCCAGTCTTCGTGCCTTCTTCGACTCGGGATCTGAAATTCGGGATATGCTTGTTGTGGTCTATGACAAGTCGGATGTTGAACCTGTTGGGCCAGATCACCCGATCGCCGGCTCCTTGTTCAAGGAGCAGAATGCCAAGTTGGCGGAAATCACGACGGTAAGTTTTTATTTTCACCTGACCCTCTTCAAGAGTGTGCCGTCCCTAATATGCCATTCATACAGCAACTTGATAATATGCTCGGTGACTGGCTTGCTCGCAAGCAGAGGTTGAGGGGCGCTGTTTGAACGTCTCATCTTGCTCCTGTTATTGTTCCTTGAGGACCCCGGCGAAGGCCGTCCTGCCTACCTGAGCGTGACTGAAGATAGATTCATGCTTTTACGACTCTGTATGCTCGATTCTTTCGCTCCCCCTTTTCCCTTCCCTACTTTGTCATGTTGTCCATTTCTTCCCGCCTATAAACGGTGGGGTTTCAATCTTGCTCAAACTTGTTCGGCTAAGCGTCTGAGAGACGGCGTCAGGGAAGGGTCGGTGGGTACGTCAGGTTGCTAGCACCTGTGTTCGATTAAAAGAATCGGGCAATATCATGCAACAACTGCCCAACCGGAAAAGAAGTCGACCTCGGCGGGAGTTCAGAGGATCTGCGGTTCCTTATATACCTACCTTTCTCAGTATTGTTTGTTACCATCACAGTCAGAACTGACACGGATTTCCTTTGTGCTGCACACCTTCTCTTCCTCCTTGTTCTTGTTTTGGCGATGGTTTTGAGATGTTGGATGGGTGAAGCGCTTGTCATGCGTGATGGAGGTGAAAAGTAACCTCGGCGGTGGATCATGAAGCAGGATTCTTCGTGAAATTCACAGCCTGCACGACCAAGCCTTGGTGCTTTTGTAACTAATTACCTCCCCTAGGTGGTTGAAGAGTCCAAACAGCCAATGGTAATGCTCACAGTTCAAATGACCCTCGTGAATGCACAAGAGGACACATCACGATGCCCCAGTCAAGCTCCCAGTGCTATTTCTGTTTCTTTCTCTCTTTTTTCCAGGTTGGACTGTTGGCATCAGGGTGTGACACGAATCCGAGTCCAGACTGAAGCTCCTTCCGTCTCTTTTTTCTGCATGTTCCCTTTGCGCTTTCACCTCTTCTCTTTTCCCCTCCTTCCCTCCTCCGCTACTTCCCATGTTCTTCAATTATGCGGTCTCCTTGAATCGCATGCCGTCATACGAACCCGTCAGACCTTTGTGAATCTTTAGCAGTTTGTTCGACTCATTCATCCACCTTCTCTTCTTGTCACTACCTCTACCTACCTTACCTGTCCGCTTTCTCGAAACCTTTTGCTCGCTACTCCGCGTATGACCTTGCCCCATTGGCTTCACAATCACCTCAACTGAATCGATAGGCTCGTCCACACTCGGATTTTTTCTTTCAACATACTCTACACAGCAAAAGGTCATCGATTATTCCCCCACTACTCGAGTCTCGGATCCTGCGACCACCTGTGGATTGGTGACCGCTTTGTCTCTTCGCGGAATTGACTTGGGAGGTTAGGAACGAAAGGGAAAGACGTACAAACAGGTCAGTGGTCCTCTTCTCAGCTTTTCCGTGCAGCTATGGCTGGAAGCCGGGAGTGATTGCTCGAGTTTCAACCGATTGCCAAAAAGTAGCCAGGAACTGATCGCATCACTCGCACCCATTCGAATTTTGCGTCATCCAGTCCTCGGATTCTGCCACAACCGATTTCTTGCTCGCCCTTGGGCCTTTCTTTACCTTGAAGAAAGCATACCGGGAGAAGTGGCGACCACAATTGCCTGGACGCGAAGCTTGAACTCGACCCATTCACCGGTACTCTCCTCCGGTTCATCCACCCAATCAGCACACAACAGCTGACCCGAAACTATCACCAAATATCACAATCGGCATGGCGAATCTTCGGGCTGCTGGGCCTTTGCAGTGGTTTACCCTGCTCATCATGATCTTAACGGCCTCTGCCGCTATCACACTTGACGACATCCAACCCATCACCTCCCTGTCAGTTTCTCGCAACTGCCTCCTCACTTACCGAAAACCTCTCCAAGGCTGTAACTCGGATGACTTCGATGGAAATGACTGCTCTAGGAGCTGTGCGCAGGGCGTCCTCCGGATTGAGGATCTCCTCCAACTCTCTTGCCGCGATGACACCGCCTCTACAAACTCGCTTCTCGCAATGGCATTGGGAGACCAGCTGCTCGATTTCTTGTGCCCGGACGAGCCTCAGATCATACCCACTTCTTTCACCTCCGAGGGTACAACATCGACACTCTCTTCGGTCCAGCCAGAGATGACGACTACAGCTAAGGCTTGGCCCACACTTACCATGAGAACCTCGACAACGGAAAGACTTACCGAGTCAACAACGTCTGAAGGTTCCGTGCCCTCGGAAGGTGGAAAATCGCCCAATGCCCCTGAACCGACTGTGACATCGGAGTCCGAGTACGATTCTACAACTATACCACTCTCACCAACCACGGAGTCACCCCTTCATACAACAAGTGATGCCGTGACCGGTACAACTACAAGCTCCGTCCGGACAACTATCGGAAGCCGTCCGATAAGGGGCGGTGGCGGAAGTCCTTATGACCTTCCTGCTGGTGTTAGAAGTGGTCAGCAAAGGCTCTCCATGTCGGGATTTAAAGCTGCCTTTGGCACTCTATTCCTTGGAGCGCTGTATCTATAGTTGTAAATACGGGTCTCGAGTTATGGGAATATTGATATCGGACAGAATTTCAGTCGAGGATGGGAAGCAATAGGTCTTGCCTGCAATGGCGATAATGTGTAGTGTTGACCACATTGTGTAGTCTCTTGAGGCTGTGAACTGTGAGTGGAATGTAGCAAGCCATACATGGTGAGAGCAAGACGAAGATCTTTGTCCTCTATGTTTTGAGGGCTGATACTCAATTCGTCGGAGGGCAACACAACAGATCAAAATAATAGTAAAGAATCGAAAACAATACAAACAGTAACACTGTTCTTGGGAGATCGCGAAGCTTGTATTCTAAACCACGACTTGATGGAGCAGTCAATTGGTATCTGGTATACCCCAAGCCAGAAGGATATATAAATCATCCCTTCAACACAAGATAAAGCGATACAAGCAAAATACTCCTCCAGCGCCCCCCGTTGACCCGACTGACCCTTTATACCATTAATTATCGTTACAAAGGAAAACATACCCAATACACTTCATCACATAACATTTGACCATTACGACCTCTTAGCCCCAACACCCATCTCCTCCCCGCCAAACTCCTCCCACTCATCCAACCCTGACCAGCCCCCTCCTCCTCCAGCAGAATTATACGTGCCCGCACCCATCTTCCTCCCCACCCAAATCCCCAACACCGTAAGTCCACTGGCAACCGTATACCACGCTTCATACCAACTTATCACAAATCCCGGCTCCAAGGCGCTCTCCAGCGCATCTCCCACACTCCTCCCCACCTCCTTTGGCAAATTACTCCGCAACAACAGCGCCGAGCTGATCACGTATGTGGCGGCGATTTGGGCCGTCAACAGGGCCAGGTTCGCCTGCGCTTGGTACAGTAGACCTGGCATCCACTTGGCAAAGATGCGGAAGGTGACAATGACCGAATTGGCGGAACCTAACAGGATGACTCCGGAGAGAAGAAAGGAGATTTGCCGTGCCCAGGCGACTTGGTCGAGTTTTGGATCCCAGTGCTTGGCGAGAAGGGAGAGGAAGCGGTTAATGGGGTCGGTGGAGGAGAATGTGCTGCCTCCTGTGAACCCTCCTGAGGAGGAGTGGGTGGTGGAGGAGAAGAAGAGGAGGGAGAAGAAAGAACGATGGTTTCGAAGGGTGGTTAATGTCGTGGCGAGCACGCGGTAGATGCAGTAGATGCTGAAGATATAGGATGGCAAGGACAGGAGACGGCCTAGGGGTGTACCGTCGCGGGCGTGCGCGGCTTGCCGTGAGCGTAGGATGGAGAGCGAGGAGGACAGGTTGGATTCCAAAGTTTCGAGACCGGAGATTTCCATTTGAAGGGACTTGATCTCGGCTGCTTCTGCTGATGAGCCCGTGGCTAGGCCTTTGAGGGAGCCGAGCATTTTGCCAACTAGAGTACTGCTGCCGTTGCCGTTACCCGCAGTGTTGTGGCTGGACGCTTCGGCCCGCCAGGCTAGCTTGTCCTGGAGAGAGCGCAGGCGGTGTCGCTTGGTGGCCAACATCTCACTCGTTGCGTCCAGCCCAGCTTGCTTGCGCGTAATGTCCATATCGGTGATGGGCCGCTTGCGGAAGGCCCGGTTGTCGGCGAAGGTGTGCCAGGGGCTCGAGACACTGGCGAAGCCGGAGAGCAAAGCCATCAGCAGGATGCCGATCACGCCGATGCGCTCGAGGCACGCGCGGGCGAGCCTACCGCCCACGAGAACGTCGCCTACCGACTCGGCTTTGGCCTCGGCCCGGCCGATGGTCAGCGCGGTGCTGTCGAAGGCGGCCCCATCGCTGTTTGCTATCCCCCAGAGGTACTCGGTCCCGTCAGGACGGGGCACCGCCTTGCCTATAGACCAGAACAGGAAGAGCCAGGCGCCGAAGCCGAGGAGTTGCAAGGTCCAGGCGATGCGTGGGACGCGCCCCTTGGCTGTGCGCACGACAGACTGCAGCTCCAGGAACGGAATGAGGACCACGAGCATGAAGAGGAGCATCGGCACCGTGAACCGCAGGGCGACGGCGCGGGCGTGGGCACTGACAAGATCCGAGATCTCGGCCAGGATGAGCTCTCCAAGTACGGCGGCCAGGCCTATCGTAGCGGAGAATGTTATGGCGGCTACTCGGCGGCGCATCGAACGGGCCCCGCGCTCGGCGTGCGCTTGTTGCAGGCTCAGAGGCGCTGACGGGGGCAGATAGTGGCCTTCGCCATCATCGCGGTCGTCTTGTACGCGGGAGAGCTTCGGGAACACCTTACCGGCTACTACCGAGCTGACAATGGCAAAGGTAGCGATGAATGGCGAAAGGGAGAATAGGGTGCCGATGGGCGAAGTCGGAATGGGCGCTCCGCAGGAGTCGACGCCACAGGACATTGAAAGTGCGATTGGTATGTGTGGATGAGGTGGTGGTATTGAGATGGTAAACCTCGAGATGTGACCTGGCACTTGTCGTACTAGACTTCCTCCCTCTTTATCTTCCTCCTCTCTTGCCGTCGCCAGATGGAATCTCGATCGTCTTATGAGAAAGTAGCCGTAGTCGCAAAGCGGATCAAGAGGTCGACGCCAGGCTCGATCAGCATCGTGTGTTTTGTGTGTTTCGGCCTATTTCGCAATGTTGTCGTCGAGGTCCAGGCCAGAGATGAAAAGATTGATTTATCCGCCCCTCGAGTCTCGCTACTCGTCAGGCTGGTAGGATCCTCAGCTGTGTCGAGGTTGGTTGATAGGTCAACGGAGTTTGGAAAGTGTGCATGGTGAAGGAAAGGCAGGGTTGCTGCGACGTTTAAAAAGGGATTCCATACAGTCCGACACTGCTTTGTTTGTTAGTTCGAGACCTTAGGTCAACTTGTCCAAGTGTTTCAACAACGAGTTGATACGTTTCCTTCGACGATAAGGGCTGAAATCAGCATGAATATGTCGGACCAGATAATACCTAATCATCCATTTTTTATTATGGCCTGTACATTTTGAAGTACTATGGTAAAAGCAGCGTTCAGGATGGCTTTGCATGTGTCTTACCTACCTAGTGTATAGGGCTAACAAACAAACAACTCGAACCCAGTATTGTACTGTAGATGACGAATTACCTCTACCTACCTACGGAAAAGGTAGTGTACATGCGCTAAAAACGCGGCCAGGCACCACCCCAGTTTTCCCCGGCTTCAAAAATGCGACAGCGGGGTGCACCCCTATTTGCGGTTCTCTGGACGCCCGCCAAAGGCACCCTGGCACCTCTTGTCTCTTTCCCCACACCCCCAGGAGCACCGTTGCGGACGGCAATTGGAGGCCCTCCACGAGCGGCAATGCACCTGCACCCCCATCAAGATCAGATCTCATATTCTGTAGTATACACTAAGACTGGATTCCCAGTCTCCCGAACCACATTGGAGATCATCACGGGGAAAGAATTGGAGGATTATGTACAAGGCAGGGAACAAGTGGTGACTGTTTAACTTATTTTGTGGAGATTTATTTTAGCTAAGCTGATGATTACTCGACAGAACCTCTGAGCCTCTGCCCATTGTACTACGGGCAGGTTAAGAGTTCGGTACTGCTTTTTTTTTCCCTTGTACTCCGGCTCCATGCAGTCTAGGAACATATCTCTAACTCTCAATGGCCCGGTATAGCAAAGACGACTTGTCACATGCTCACTGGTGTTGTAAATATCCGTCAAATGGGCCACCTTGGCACCTTGATAACGATACCGGCTGATTTATGCTGAATGCCCGGCCTGCGCCAAAATAATACCGTAGTCAAAATCCAGCACCGCTGCCAACTAGGTTGGTATCATCTGGGAAGATACCCGCTTGTTCATATCTCAGTTATGCTCTGTAGCTTCCTTCATGGCTCCAATAACCGGTCCTCATTGCTTGGCCTTGTCGCTCGTTCGCCCCAGGGTATCATCCTCCTCATCTTCATCGTCTGAATCCCGCGATTTTCCTGACTGCCCTGACTTGAGCAGGGCAGCGGCTTCTCCTACTTCCATAGCGTGGAGTCGCTTCTTCTGTTCTCTTTCAAGTGCTAATTTCTTCCGTCCATCTGCTGCTAGAAGTTGGTCGCCCGAGACCGCCTCAATCTCGTACTCATCTTCTTCCTCGGCCGTGTCTTCGTCGCCACTCTCGTTTGCTTGCGTCGATCGCGACAGAGACACGGAGCTCGTCCCGGCTGCTGTGGGAGAAGGAGTGGAGGGCAGAGATGTTCGTCGGTTGCGAGGCTTGTTGGGCTCGTACGGCTTAATGGTCGGATCGAACGCTGCTGGCAACCCAATCGCGGCAGCCACTCGGTGTGCCTCTTCATCCGGAGAAATATTCTTTTCCATCTCGTAGAGACTGCTTGCGTCACTGTCGGCTTCGTGTTTTCCGTCGTTGTATGCCAGCATGGCGGCATAGCTCTGTCGGTTCGGGTCGTGGGTACGTTTCTCCTTCTTTTTGAGTCGCTTGTCGTCTGGTCGAACAACGACCACGGGGACAGGGCTGTATTGGAGGCAGTATTTTGAAAAGGAGTTGCGTGTGTTCATCAGGCCCTGGATTCCGCCAAGGGACCTGCCCTTTGTGCCGACAACGAGCATCGAGGGTTGGTGGAGATGAAGCTACATTTACGCTCGTCTGTCAGTAAAAGCAAGACAGACGGGGCCCGTGGTCAGCAAGAAGACGTACTAATTTCTGAAAAGTAGAATGCAGTTTCCCAACGGCCCACTCGAGAATAATGCTGATAGCTCTATTCTGCTCGTTCTTGGATTGAATGGTCTGCAACAGCTTCTTCGCTTCCTCCTGGTAGGACTTTTCCCCTGGACGAATGGGATTCTCAATGACGCGCACACACACTACCTGATCTCCATCATCGACCATGTTGTTGAGCAGCCAAACCAGCGCATAATCGGAATAGGCATGCTCGTCCACACCCACCATAAAGGTACGAGACCTTCGGGATGGCTGGTACCCCTGGTGTTTTACATGGAGCGTAAAGGAGGATGTGTTGTTCTTGGTCGAATCGCCGGCGGGTAGGTTGTCAAAACCAACGTGTTGTCGGAACCTGGGAGCCGAATTAGAACTTTTTGTTAACGACGACGACATGACACCAAAAGCGACGGCGACTATGCAGGTGGCAAGCTGAATTGCAAGATGATGAGATGTGTCGCAAGTGTGATTAGAAGGAAATTGAGTATGTAGCAAGGATGGCCATGTGCTGGGATAAATGCTGAACTGTTTGTTTGGCATCAAAAGTTCAGAGTGATATGTACGGGGAGCAATGCGTGAATGATCGAAAGGGGGAACAGAGCGTCATGACGGGATCCAATTGTGCATGTGGATGTTGCAGATTTGAAAGGGTCTCGACCTGGACTGCCGTGCCCGTCATCCCCCCCCCCCCCCACCAGAGCGGCACTGCATGAGCGCAAAATTCCCACGAGCCAAAAGACCTGGAGTCCAGAGGAGGGGTCACCGTGAGCGCCCCCCTTGGCATCCGTAGAGGTGCTGGAAACGGTAACCTCGACCGGCGCCGGTGGGGTAGGTACCTCTAGCGGGGTGCAAGCTAGGTACCTAAGCGGACCGCTGGCGAATGGGGTCTTCTGATGGAGGGATGAGGCCAGAACGATGCCGGGCCTGAGCCTGAGCTTTTTTAGGTTCTTTGGCGTGTGATGCGGGTTCCAGTTCCCGCGGGAGAACGGAACTCGATGGAGGCTCATCACCAGCCAGTGCACTGCTCCGTTGTCTGGGCTGTTGATGTGATTCCAATATTGTACTCTCCACTGGCACCACGATCGTCATGATTCGGAGGTCTGTTTACCTCAGCCCAGACAATCCCCACTACACCTGTCGGGCTCGTTTTGTTGCGCTTGTGACAAACTCCAATGCTGCCACGACAAATGACTCTTTGCGAAGCACGGCCAACTGAGGTGCCGATTGTCCATCGCTGAAAAGGGGAGAACGAGCCATGACAGGGTCCACGGGATGGAGGAGGCCATGGGGCAAGCTTTTCCGGCGACAAACCATGGGGGAAAAGCTTAAAATCACGCCAGGGATGAGGAAGGAGTCAAGCACGGGCTATCCCCGTTAGAAACAAGGCACCACTGGCGCCGAACATCGGACGGGTTTGGGCGGGGCGGGTGATGCAGAAGGATATATATGGTGCGGATTTGGGCGTGGCAAAAGCCAGAAACAAACAACTCTCCGGAGAGAGATAACTTACCTCACAGGGGAAGGCGATGACGCACGCAGCCGTCTGTTGTCGGTCTTTCGGGGCTTGCCTTGCGGCAGTGCGGGATGGCGCGGAGCCTGGAAGGATATGGATACGGCGGAGGATTTTCTAGATCCGACAGGAGGGCGTTCGCTGCTGCTTCCGCCGCTCTGTGACGTCCGCCGAGATTCATCCTGAAAGCTATCGGCCAAGGAAAGAGGAGAGACGATGCTGACGCGCCTCGAGGCGCTAGTCCCGCTCGTAGGGGAAGTGGTTGCTGCTCGGTAATCGACCGCGGGGGTATGGTTTTCGGAGTCGCTGGAATGGGCCTTTGGTTGCGGCGAGAAATAGTCCTTGGGCTTCGATGAGTTCTGGGTCCTAGGTGACACATCCGAGTCGAGGCTCTTCACGGCCGAGGGTGAGGATATCAGCTCCACCATGTCGGAAAGGCTCTTTGCCATCGCGATGATGGTGCTGGTTGGGGGGCACAATAATGGGGCCAAGGGATAACGAGTCCAAAGCCTATTATCCGGGCGACTGATCGGCCTCGATGGAAGGCCAGCAAGGGTTATCTGGCTTCAACCAGCATCAGAGGTGGATGAGGGATGGCAAGATGATCGGGGAGAAGCTGGCGTGAAGGGACCGTTCACGCAGCTTCCAGGCGATAGGGGTTGGAAACAACGCCGCCAGCGTGGAGTTTGGCGAGTGTATTCGGCCGGGTCGTGACCAGGAAAGGGAAGCTGAAAGGGTGGGATTTGAGCAAACCCGCAAGTGCTGGATGTGATGACGACGATGTTTGCCTGGACTGGGTGGCGCGCGGATAGTTGACAAGGCTGAAGGCTGCTGTTACAAAGATGTGAAGAGTCGTCGCGGTCGGAGGAGATGAGTCGAAGTGTCCAAGTCCACGTGGGCTATCGGGAAGAGATCCGGATATTGGATGGAATCTCGCCTGATTTTAGGTATGGAATGCGCAGGGATAGGTTGTACGAGTAGACTAGCTCTGCCCGTAATGAGGTATGCGGCAAGGTTGACTGCGGCTGTCTGGATAGGAGGAGATGGAGGTAGCTCCCTGGATGTCGAGGTGCCTCGAGGTAGAGATGTAAGACGGGACAAAGGCGGGATGGGAGATAGAAGGTGCCAGTGCCGGCCGGGGGGTGTGGGTGTAAAAGAGGGAGCGGTAGAGACTCTGTAGGTATGCGTGTGAGTGCGGTGCGTGCTTGTATGTATGTGAGTGTGTTTATGTATGTACCGTGTGAGCGTGTCTGGCTATAGCGTCATGTGTCGAATCCAAGCTTTATGGAAGGGCTCTGCATTCCGCTGCTTGGCGTTGCTCTGTTGAGAGACGGATTCAGAAACCAACACACCGACGTCAGGCTACCTCTCTCTATAAACCCTGGGAGACGGAAGCGTGCCTTTGTGGGCAAGACAAGCTCCGAGCGTGGTTGGCAACACCAGTGATTTAAATAAATATCACCGCCCAACCTGGAGTCGAGCTTCCAGGGTGGTCCAGACCCCTTGTGAATGGAGCGACTGGAGTCGGCTGTCTTAAGTATGCTTCGTTTTTTTTTTCTCCTTTTGTCTTGGCGACCCTTTGGAGTGGGCTTTGGTGGGTAAAGTCTGGCAGGTACCGTCCACTCTGCAAGCGGACAGTGACACCGGGGCTGACCGAATGACGGATCCTCTGCTTTGTCGGACTGGAGCAACCAAACAGGGCTAAACTGTGGATGGACTGCCCGTGGGCTGTTGACTGGTGAAAGAGACCAACGTAGGGCCGCCTCCCCTCGGCTCTGCTGCCTGCCAAGTGCCTACAGCTTCCTGGAGGTACCTACCTGTGGGCTACGGCCGGTCCTATGTACGCTACTCCTGCTACTTCTACCGAAGGGAATACCTAGCTCCCTGTTTTTAGTCGGTCTACGCCAAATTGCTTCCTTTCCCGCGCCTCGTGCTCGGTGATGAGTAACACGGGCATGAGGGGATTGCAACCTCCCCCACTGCCCTATCAAGCTAATAATTTCTGGAAGCCTTAGTCCGTCTTTTTCTCTTCCTCGGCTGTTGATTTAGTTCGATTGCCGACACTTGTAGCGGAGAGATTCACTTCGAAAAGGTCTTTTCCCCAGGTTCTCATGGTCCAGGCATACGACTATTCCCTAGATTACTTCCCCCCCTGCTGCCTTCCGGGGCGGAAGGGAATGTCTAACAAGACACGACAGGCCAAGCTTTCCCTGTGATTCAAGAAGCTAGTGCTTGGCAGTGCCAACCACAGCATGAACCTGTGATAGCCCGCCTCGCCTTGGTGTTACCAGTGACCTCAAGATGGGCCATCTTGCGGTCGAGGGAGGGTTTAGGTATGCACCTCGAGAGCAGGGTCCCAGACCATCTATCCACTCTTCTCTGGCAGACGCCTTGGTAGGCTCCAGGGCCACAAAATGCGCATGGAATATGATGGGTTGTATTCCGACTGAACACCTATACACTAACAGTACTATCAGACACTCTGCCCAAAGACCGTGACTTGCGTGACACACGGTATTTCCTTCTACCTACAAGCAGATTTCCTCCCTCTTCCATCATACGCATCAGGGGTCGTTCAGGCCCAATGACATTATCAGCCTCGCAAAAGAAAAAAGAAAGAAAAAAACCCTGGCACGGCCCTTGAGAACCCTTAGACTACACTACAAAAGGGGCAACGACAATGTTTCGGCACCTGTCCGCCAAGTCGCTAATCAGTGGGGTGTCGCTGCCCGTCCTGCCCATCCTACTGTGAGTAAGCTGAGAGCGGTCAACCGCAGCAACGCACCATATTGGCTTTATACAGGGAGCTTTGGTTGCCTGGGGAAGCCCTGTCAATGGAATGATTGGAGGGCCTGGAACCTGGAATGACGCTATGAGAATGTCACGGAAGGATGTGTCCGATGGGAGATGGGAGGGGGATTGTCCAGTGAAGATTGTCAAAGACGAACGGCCGCTGCCGGAATCCTACCAAACGCCGCAGATCAGACAGCGAGCATTGCATTGGATGTTACATTTTTGAGTTGAACGACACTACCGCTCTTTCTCACTCAATTCTTCGCCTGTATCATTCCCAGGTAACCTCGTCGAGGTAACCTTGCGAGCCGAATCAACTCATTTAGCAGATTGCTTGAAGCCAGATATACCCGGCGCTATGCCTAGTTGAGTGAAACGATATCAAGTGCAAATATGCGGTACGTCTCTTTCCAAGGAGATGAACTAGATGATCCTACATAGGGAAGTATGATGAAGGACGGTAGTACCAAGACCTATCAAACAAAGACCTATCAACATACCGTAGAAGGCTCAAATCATGTGCAGATACATCAGATACAGAGACCACAGCAAGTTGGCTTGGCTATCGATATGTTACACGATACACTACATGCCAGGACATTCCCAGCCGTTATAAGAGCGGATTCATAGAAGACCAACCACACATTCATATTCTCATCTATAAAGTAATCGATTACTCACTCGACTGAGTACTCACATTAAATCTACTTATCTTGAACCTAATTGCCGAGAAGAAAATCATACCCAAGGTAACAACCATAAGCAGCCCTAAAGAGACCCAGCACATAGACTTCAAGCATGCTTCATCTTCCTCGTTTACCATACGTCATTGTCACCATCCGCTCATGTGACACCATATATCTACCGAGCAATATATGTGCCGGTGAGTAACATCTCCAAGCTATCACATGCATACACCTAGAGGTAGAGTAAGAGTGTTAACACTCCTGCTCTTGAAGCTCTTGATTGTGTGGGTACCTAGGTATATTCGTGAAAAAACGGGACGGAGCAGCAAACCTCCTTGATAGATAGACAACTGAATATCAATGGCCACCAAAGAAGATTAGGTCTTTCCCAGCTTTTCTTTGTTACAAGACGACGACCCGCTGTCACTACGCAAGAAAGTTGACCTGCTCCTACATACATCATTCACCTACCTTCGTATACTCTAATGCTGACCTCTTCTTCTTCTTCTTCTTCTTCATCATCATCATCATCATCATCATCATCGTAAAATTCTCCACAAGTCGGACCGAGAGATAGTGATCTAGTATCCACCTCATCTTCATTAACGTCGAACGACTAAGCTACGGGAGGCCTCCCATCATTCAAAAAGACGCAAGCCAAGCATCCATGGAGATGTGCTGTACACATGTATGTACGATGGATGGTTAAGGGTGTCGTCGGAGGCTGTCAAGTTGCGTTAGCTTCGGCTCGGCAACTGGGTCAGTGGGTGGGTGTGCCATTCGGGCTTTGCGGCCTTGGCGATATCTTCTTTCCTCCATCTTGTCAAACGATGCCGTGGTTACCGTCTTGGATAGCTGTATGCAGAGACTATCGATCTCAGCCCTGCTGTCAATGTCGTATCACTGACATAGCTGTCTTCTTGTTCATGGTCCTGTTTCGGCTATGGAAATAGCTTCTTAATTCCTCATCCATCATGGGCTCTACTCGGAGGCCTCCGGCACTGGTCAAACAAACGGTTCTCTCCTTCGCGGTTTCAATCCAACGTTAGAGGTAAGAAAGTTTAAAGGTTACAACTGATCGAACGGACCCTTCTCTTGGTCTTTTGTAACTAAGGTACCTCTCTTAGATGGTATAGAAAACAGCCATGAACAACTTTAGCGCTGGCAAAATAACAAGTGAACCCTTTCTAAATATCGCTTTGTTTTTCCTACCCCATTGTGTTAACTTACGTACTAACTGATCGTATAGTAGAGTACGCCTTTTCCAACTGCGTATCAACACCCCTAATAGACCGATGTGGGTGCAACAAGAGGAGCGAACCTACGCGGCGTGCCAGCCGCGGCGGTATTTGCGGTATCTATGCGGTTCCATCTTTGACTCTCCACAGCCCCTATTCCTAGGATAGAGCCTGATTTGATATTTGGAGGAAATACCGTCTTGGCTTTTCGGCAAGACTGGTACCCTTTCCTGAGGCCAGGTCCCAGCACAACACCCTCCCATTTTCATGGGTACTTCCTGATTCTCTCCTCTTGTTGCCAGATGGATTGCTTTTGTGTTTGCCGACCTCCCACCCTCCCTGAGATGTTCCTTGGAATAGACCAATCCCATTGACGCCTAATGCAAATGCTGCTGACAAAGACCTGCGTAGCCCCTGATACTCCCGCCAATTACAAAAAATGACAAAGACGATGAGAAAGAGACGAATCTCCGCCCCAGCAGCGCATTCCCGTCCCAGCAGCGCTTAGAAACCCATTCAAGCATAAGTGCGCGAAAGGTTGCGGAGGTACCAGTCAACCAACTTGCGGCCGACCTTGGCCTCGGAGATGTGGATGAGGTCCTGCAGAATACTGTTAGCAACTGGAAATCACATCTGTCTAATTTCGACACGGTTTTCACCGCGCCAGCACGGGGATCACTTACACCCTGGAGAGCATAGTCGAGATCGCTGACGTTGACAAGCTCACCCTCCAAAAGACCACCGTCGGTCCAGCGCAGCTGCTTGGTGCGCTGCTTGTTGACCATGAGCCAGCCACGGAGCTCCTCGGGCTTGACCTCGAGGAAACCGGCGAGCTTCTTGAGATCCATGGTGGTGTACAGGCGGAGGTAAGACTTGATGGTGGGGTTGAACATGTTGGTCTTGACCTCGTCCATGAAGACGGAAAGGTGGTGCTCGATGGGGTCGATGTTGGCCTCGGGCTCGTCGAAGTTGGGGGGAACGGGGGAGATGAACTTGGGGCAGGCGGTGCGGAAGAGCTCCTCATAGATGGGGAGGGCCTCGGGGCCACCGCGCTGGAGCTTGAGAAGCTGGTCGCCGTACTTCTCACGGAGGGCGGTGTGGATGGTGTCATCCAGACGGGTGGGCTGGAAGGCAACGCAGATGGCGATGAGGGCGTACATCTGGTCGTTCTTCTTGGTGATGGAATCGTACTGGGCGTTCTTCTGGAAGTTCTTGGTGCGAGAAACGTAGACCAGGATGTGGCTGAACATGCGGATGGCATCGGCGTAGCGGCGCATCATCATGTAGGAGAAACCGACATAGTAGTAGGTGGTGAAGTGGGCAGCCATGACGCGGGCGAACATGGCCTTCTTGTTGAGCTCGATGTCGTCGAGGGTCTTGAGGGCGAGGCTGAAGTCACCGAGAAGGGTGTGGACGCGGAGCAGACCAATGATGGAGAAGTAGCCGAGCATCTTGTAGAGGTTCTTGGAACCATACTCGCCGGCGACGGCCGCGGGATCCTCGTTGCGCTTCATGGCGGCCAACTGCTCGGTGATCTGCGACTTTTGGATCAGGGAGTAGAGGACGTTGAGGACGCTGTAGCAGCCCCAGGTGTTGGGGTTCTCGCGGAGCATGGCGATCTCCTCCTCATTGTTACCTTGACGGGCGATGCGAGCTCTGTACGAGGAGAACGAGTTGAACTGGTAGATGAATTCATCGATGACGTCCCAAGCCCAGTAGTACTAGTAAGAGGAAGAAAACATGTGTCAGCACAAAGCTATGTCATGAGACCATGGAGCCGAGGATATCGATAATCATGGCGTAAGCGGAGGTAGACTAACGGAAGGGGGCTCGAGGTCGACGGGGCCCTCGGAGTTCAAGATGAAGTGGAACAAGCTGCAGTAGGAATCGTAGCTCGAGAACTTGACCTCCAGACCGGCGGAGTAGTCAAGGGGCTGGGCGGCAGCGGCGAGGCGCGACTGGATGTCGTCGGTCTGGGCGGCCAGGGACATCTGGGTGGACTCGGCGTCATCCTCCTCATATTGGACCTGCTCCTTGTAGTCGTTGACGAGGGCCTCCTCCTCGACGTCCGAATCGGGGTCGATGGCGCGGGCGGGCGCTTGCGCTTGCTGGAAGGCGCTCATGATGGGCTATAGTGGGAAGAGAGGAGGACTCGGGAAAGGATATTCCGACGTCGCGTCCGGGTCGAAAAGAGTTCACTACGGGGTCGGGGGTCCGGAGTGGTGGTGGTGTGGGTGAGGTCGGTGGTGTCTCTCTGTGGTCGCGAAGAGTGAGTGGCCCGAAGCGAATCGACAGGACTTTGCTTGGCGGGGCTCAATTTTTTGCTGTGTGGCCCGTCGTCCGTGGGCTTCTTTCACCCACTTTGCTAGCATTGTGAGGGGGGCGGGGCCCGCGCTAGCTCGCTTCCATATCCGTTGGGGATTTTGGGAGAAAAGCGGGGTGTATGCAGTTTTAGGGTATGGTCTGCCACTGTCTGACGGGCAGAGGAAGCGCCAAGCATATGGATATATCGATAGCTCATTCGATCTGAACGATTGAAATTCGAATATCAGAGTGGAGAATTCAACTATCAAGCACACTGTGGAATAGCAGGTCAGACAGGTGGCAGGCAGTGAGGGGCAACTGGAACCAGTCCGATGCCATCTCGAATGACAGCGAATGAATCATTTCAAAGTCGACTTTGAAAGTCAGGCACCGCGCGGCGGGCATCGTCGGCGCGAAGAAAAAGCATATGCGTGTGCACTACTTCTGGGCTTAGTATCAACTAAAGAGTGACGGACATAAAATAAATAGAAGCACCAAACCTCGCAGAAAATAATACACAAATGTAGTTCTTGTGCATCTTGGTTCACGTTCTCTTCCAGGTTGTCTGGCTCCAGCTTTTTTCCCTTAATTTTTTCTAAAAAAAAAAAAAGCTGCCCCGCCAAAAAGTTGCCCAAGATCGACTTCCAAGACTGACGCCTCCCATCCTTTACCCATTCCCATATTAATCAGCGATCACTTTAACCACCTCTCATATTCATTAAGCTCACTCGATTAAGCCCAACACCCAAACAACTAACAGCACTCTACAGTAGTCCCGACGCCAAAAACAGAATCTTTATTTACTCAAAGGAAGCTCATCAGTTGTGAATAATCATCATGCCTGTTGTCCAGCCAGAAAAGCTGGCTAAGCTCCAACAAAATGCTGACGACGTGAGGAATGTAAGTTGAGCTACATGTGATATGCATCCTTGTGCAAAACCCAGCAAGACTTCAGTTCGAGGACATGAAGCTAACTAATTTTTTCTACAGATTTGTATCTTGGCTCACGTTGTACGTATTCCTTATGCCCAAGCAACGTCCCGGCCTCTATCTGTATTGTTGCTACAAAGACTTACACTTCATCTTCCTTAGGACCATGGGAAAACATCACTCACAGATGCCCTTCTTGCCACCAATGGCATCATCTCACCAAAACTCGCCGGAAAGATTCGCTATCTCGATTCCCGACCGGATGAACAGCAAAGAGGTATCACCATGGAGTCTTCAGCCATTTCACTATACTTCTCCATGTTGAGGAGGTCGGCTCCTGACGCTACTCCCGAGGCCAAGGAGTACTTGATCAACCTGATCGACTCCCCCGGACATATCGATTTCAGCAGTGAAGTGTCCACTGCTTCTCGCCTTTGTGACGGTGCCGTTGTTTTGGTCGATGCTGTCGAAGGCGTCTGCAGTCAGACAGTAACCGTGTTGCGCCAAGCATGGACCGAGAAGCTCAAGCCCCTTCTTGTTATCAACAAAATCGACCGCTTGGTTACCGAGTTGAAGATGACCCCTGGCGAGGCTTATATTCACCTCAGCAAAATTCTCGAGCAAGTCAACGCAGTTCTTGGAAGCTTCTTCCAAGGTGAGCGCATGGAAGAAGATCTCAACTGGCGTGACCGGATGGAGGAAAGAGTGGCTGCCGCTGCGGCCAAGGAGGCTCAAATAGCTGCCGGTCAACCTGACTCCGGCGAGCTTCAGTTCCAGGAAAAAGACGACGAGGAGATTTACTTTGCGCCAGAGAAGAACAATGTTATTTTTGGCAGTGCCATCGACGGCTGGGCTTTTACTGTTCGTCAGTTTGCCGGCATGTACGAGAAGAAGCTCGGCATCAAGCGTGGCTTGCTGGAAAAGGTTCTCTGGGGCAACTTCTACATGGATCCCAAGACCAAAAAGGTACTTGGGCCTAAGCATCTCAAGGGCAGACCTCTAAAGCCCATCTTTGTCCAGTTGGTTCTGGAGCCAATTTGGGCTGTTTACCAGGCCACGGTTGGTGGTGACTCCGGTAAGGGTGATCCCGCTCTTTTGGAGAAGATCACCAAGTCTTTGAACCTCAGTGTACCGCCTCACATCCTCCGCTCTCGGGATCCCAAACTACTCCTTACCACGGTGTTTGCTTCTTGGTTGCCTCTCTCTACGGCTTTGCTCGTCTCAGTGGTGGAGTCATTGCCTTCGCCCAAAGCAGCTCAGGCGGACCGTCTCCCAGACCTCCTGGCAAGCGTACCCGGCGCGGACCACATCGATCCCAAGGTCAAAGATGCCATGGTCTCGTTCAAGAAAGATCCATCTGAGCCCATGGTTGCATATGTTAGCAAGATGATATCCGTGCCTGAAAGCGAGCTTCCGGAGAACAGGCGCCGCGGACCGCTCAGCCCTGAGGAAGCTCGAGAGCTGGCGAGAAAGAAGCGTGCCGAAGCCATCCGTGCCCAAGGAGGCGCCGACGCTGACGCTGACATGAACGACCTTGCCAACGCCTTCACCAGCACCTCCTTGACCGACAATGCCGTGCCGGAACTCGAGGAGAAGCCCGTCGAAGCGGAGCATCTTATCGGTTTTACCCGTATCTACTCGGGCACTCTATCCGTTGGCGACGAGATCTATGTGTTGCCCCCAAAGTTCTCTCCGGCTGATCCTCATGCCCAACCCGTCCCGAAGAAGGTGACGGTTACCGCTCTCTACATGCTCATGGGTCGCAATCTCGAGGCCCTTCCCTCCGTGCCAGCTGGTGTCGTGTTCGGTATTCGCGGTCTCGAAGGCAGCGGCCTTCTCAAGTCCGGAACGCTCTGCAGCCAGCTCGAGGGCTCGGTCAACTTGGCTGGTATCGCCAACCTGGCCGGTCGCCCCATTGTCCGTGTCGCTCTTGAGCCTGTCAACCCCTATGACCTGGACAAGATGATTCAGGGTCTTCACCTCCTTGTCCAGAGCGATCCGTGCGCTGAGTATGAGCACTTCTCCAGTGGCGAGCACGTCCTCTCTACTGCCGGCGAATTGCATCTCGAACGCTGCTTGACGGATCTGCGCGAGCGGTTTGCACGATGCGAGATCCAAGCCGGTGCGCCCATTGTGCCGTACCGGGAGACGATCGTTCGTGCCGAAGAGATGCGCCCTCCAGTGAACAAGGAACTCGGTCGCGGTGTGGTTGTCGGCGTCACGAGCTCCAAGCAAGTGACGGTGACCCTGCGCGTCAGGCCCCTCCCGGCCCCCGTAACTGAATTCCTCCAGAAGAACTCCGCCGGCATCAAGCGGCTGTACACAGACCGCAAGGCGGCTGGTGTCGAGGACGGCGCCGAGTCACCCTCTGTAGAAGAGGCTACGTTGGAGAACGGCACGCCGTCGGACGTCAAGATTGAAGAAGACGAGGAGGTGTCCCAAGCCGCCACCACCCTCACGCCCGAGGAGCTCAAGAAGCAGCTCCAGGCCCAGCTCGACGGCGTCAAAGACAAGGAGGCTTGGAAGGACGTGATCGACCGCATCGCCTCCTTTGGCCCGCGCAGAACGGGCGCCAACATCCTCGTTGACGCCACCAAGGACCAGCTCTTCAGCAAGGCCTTCTCGGCCGACAAGATCCGCAATCAGGCGCCCACGGGCGACGAGAAGCTGCACCCAGCCCACTTCAGCGATAAGATCATGTACGGTTTCCAGCTGGCCACGCAGCAAGGGCCGCTTTGCAACGAGCCCGTGCAGGGTATCGCCGTCTTCGTGGAGGATGTTCTGGTGGCGCAGACGGAGGACGACGAGACCTCGTCGGCCCGTGACAGGATCGGCCGCTTGACGGGTGAGGTTATCAAGACGGTGCAGCAGTCGATTCACAAGGGATTCTTGGACTGGTCGCCGCGCTTGATGTTGGCTATGTACTCGTGCGAGATTCAAGCGAGCAGTAAGTTTTTCTTTCATCATTTTTTTTGTCCCCCACATCCTTCTCCCCACAAGTCAAGTTACTCATACTAACGTCCACAAAGCCGAAGTCCTAGGCCGTGTCTACGACGTGCTCACCCGCCGCCGCGGCCGCGTGCAGTTGGAAGCCATGAACGAAGGCACGCCCTTTTTCACTATCCAGGCCCTGCTGCCCGTGGCCGAGTCGTTTGGGTTCGCCGATGACATGCGCAAGCGTACCTCGGGCGCCGCGCAGCCACAGCTGATCTTCACGGGTTACGAGATCCTGGACGAGGATCCCTTCTGGGTGCCCTTCACCGAAGACGACTTGGAGGACCTGGGCGAGTTTGGCGACAGGGAGAATGTGGCTAAGAGGTATATGGATAGTGTGCGCAGGAGAAAGGGGTTGTTGGTGGAAGGAAGGAATGTGGCTACTAATGCGGAGAAGCAAAAGACTTTGAAGAGGTAGAGAAGGTGGTGAGTTTGTAATAAGATCTTTGTTAGACTATATGGCGTACGAAAGAAAGTCTGAGTTGTGGACTACTATGCATCGCCCATCGTAGGTTTGTTTACCAACCAAAAGGGGCATTATTTCCTCGTCTTGGCTCCTTGTGAGTGTGCCTTGTTCCGTGCTGTTAAGATACGACTGACATATTTCTTATTGCTCAGTACGGTCGATCGATGAACGAGACTAAAGAACACACGCTCCAACTATAACAGTACTGTGGAGCACTTACGACGAACTTTGTTAAATCTGCAGATCAGTGGAATCCAATGGTTCTTCTTTTTAGGTTTGTTCCTTACCTTAGTGTTGACTCAAATCATTTCATGTTTTCTTTTCCCGTAACGGCCGAACGCCTGGGAAAGAAAACATACTCAAGTACCACGTGTCTGCCTTCCACTTCCAAACACTTCCAGAAAAAGTCTAGAACCACGTCTTACCAGATGTGTTGGCATGTGTAACTTTAGATATCCCTACTCGACCCCAGTTGTCTTTTCAAACACGATGGAGAGTTTTAAAGGAAATAGCAGCGGTTCACAATCTTACTTTTGTATCTTTTTCATATCTTTTTTTTCTCTTTCTTTT